GAATGGGGTATAATAAGGCAAGCTACTTTGCCATAGTCTCCCCACATCTCCATTCATCCTCTGATCTGTGGCTTTATTGTGGTTTAAATCTGTCTTTCTTATTGTTGTTTTATTTTTTGGTACCTGAATATTACATTTTAAGAAATGCTTTCATCATAGTTTTAGTTTTACAGAAAGTAGTAAAATAATAGAGTTTCATATGTTCTACAGCTTCCTGAAATGTGAACACCTTATATCACCATAGCACATTTATGAAAACTCAGAAATTGACAGTGGTACAAAACTATTAACTGAAATAGATTTTCTTCATATTTTACCAGGTTTTCCACTAATGTCATTTTTCTGGTCAAGTATCTAATCGAAGATACCACATTACATTTACTGTCAGGCATATTACCGATTGATCGTTGTATAACATATTACTACACAGTTTAGACTTTCAAACCCAGCCCTACATAGTACTTACAGTTTCTCTGGGTCAGATACCTGGCAGAGAGTTCAAGGGAAGGCTCACCTGGCAAAGGATCCCCTTCCAAGCTCCTAGAATTCTTGTAAGGATTCAATTTCTGTCCAGGTCAAGATGACTTCACTGTGTGTTATTCAAAGCCTTTCAGCATTAATAACAATCAATAAAATCAGACGAGTAGAGAACCTTTCCCAACGCACTGTATGAAGCCAGTGTTCCCTGACACCACAGCTAGACAAAGACATTTCCAGAAAGGAAAATTACAGACCAATATGAAATAGGTAAAAAGTATCAAGGAAGTACTATCAAAATTAACTAGTAACATATAGAAAGGATTATACACTAGGAGCAAAATAATTTATCCTTGCAATGTAAGTTGGGTTAAACATAGAAAAACAACTGGTGTTATAAACTATAGTAATAGAATTTTTAAAAAAAGACTCATGGTCACCTCTAAAGATGGAGAATAAGTATTTGACAAATTCCAAACCCATTCATGAGAAAAGCTCTGGGAAATTTAGGCATAGAAGAAAACTTGATAAACCTACAAACAGCATCCACGGAAAACTCACATAACGGAAGGAAAGACATACAAGCCAATAGAATAGAGTTGAGCACACCAAAATCCATCTTTATATATAGGCCAAACTTATTTTCAAGGTTGAAAAATTGATTCAAGACGAAAAAATAGTTTCTCAACAAATGTTGCTGGGAGAAAGGGATATCCACATGGAAGTTTAACTCTTTCCTGCACCATATATGTATTTGACTCAAAA